TAAAGTGGATTTATAGGGATTATGCTTAGAGGGGGATGGCGATATACTGCCTTAATCTCTACGAATGCCGAATTGGATTGGTTCCTACATAAACTGTCGCGTGTGGGTAAATAAGCAGATTGGTTATTTAAAAAAAGGCTGGATCAACAAAATTGATACCTTAGGAGAGAGTGTTTTTAGAAAATTTCTTACGAGGGAATTCACTTAACTATTCTCCAGTAACGTCTTTCTCACAAATGAATTTGTATGTTGTTGTTTTGTTAAAGTAGTGATGTAAATGCAAAGATCCAAAAGCATCATTTTGCAACTTTAAAACAAAACTGTAAACTTTCTTTGACGGACTTTTAATAAAATACATTAAATTTTGAACATTCAGTACTATTCATCGACACCTGCGGCATTAATTTTATTAAATGACGTTATCCATCAAGGGTAATAAAGTATTCTTATCAATTAATGTATTACTGCATATAGTACTGATAGTGTTAAGGAACTGTGTAAAGACTTATGTATGTTTTTAACTTTCTGCATGATTCTACTGATAATAGCGTTATGAATTTCCCCTATTGTCCACACTGGCCATGTTATTTTTTTATGTACCGATTAAATATTTACGCAACATCAGTAAAAGAACATTTTATGTTCCGATATCATCAATAATAAAATATATATCTAAAATATCATTTTTAATGCGCTATTAAGGCTGTTTCACACGTATGAATACATTACGCGGCAGAAAACGACGTGTAGGCGCGGTAACATATTTGAAGACGGCGAAAAATAAAACTAACTAATTTCTGCAAAGAGTGCAAAGCAAAAATGAACTTTAAAATAACGGACAAGACGACGATGGTGCCACCGGCGACTGTTTGATTTTACATTTGCCCTTCTGTAACAATATTTACGAGGTACCTACAATTGTCACGGAGATATACGTGCACTTTTATAGATCGTTATTATTTTGTATTTCTTCCTGTATGAGACATTGTTGACGCGGGAACGATTACTGATACGATTCATAAAAGTATGTGAAATAAATAAAAGCGTGAAATAAAGAACTTATGAAAAAAAAGGTAGAGTTAAATTGTTAGGGCATAGTCTAATTATTAAATATCATAAGTAATTCAATGACGACACATGATTTTGGAAATGTCAAAGCAAAATTTTAAGTGATTTTAATTCAACAGTAGTATTATAATTGATCAGTTTTTCATTCACAGAACTATATTAGAAAATATTTTTGTTGAAAATGCTTAATCAATCCACTTTGTCCCTGGTACCCTGAGATGAGATGATTGGAACCGACGACCGTTCGCAATCAGGGCGCCTGCTCTAATCACTGAGCCTCCAAGGATATAACAGGATTGACGAACTCTTCAAGCATTTGTTATTTTTTGTTACTACAAAGCGAATTTTCACCAATGTTCAGGGCCACCCAAACAGCCGAAAGATAAGTTTTAGAAACATTTTAAATCCAATGTCATTCCATCTCATCAGGGTTTGAATCCCATTTCAGAGTACCAGGGACAAGGTGGATTTTTAGGCATTTTTCATTAAGAATATTTTTCAATAGTAGTAGTTAAATAATTTTGATTTAATAGTACTAATTAGGTAATAGGCCTTTCGAATTATTAATTGAACCGCCTTTCTCAAGTATAATTGAACTTTAGTAATTACTTATTGTTGAATTAAATAATAAGTCTTACTAATGTAACAAAATAAACATTTAATATTGTACTATCTAGTATCAAAACCTGTGTTCTGTGGTTACAACAATATCTATGGTTCAGTGTTAAAACAAAAAAAAATATATATATATTCATTCTCTCTGCTCAATCGTCGTTTCATTAGAACACTTTTCCTACCCAACAATGAAATTACTTCTAAATAAGTGGCTTGAGAAGTGTTTAAATCCTGAAGACAGTATAACTATCTAAATAGTTATTAATATCTGTGCTCCATTACGTATACGTAGCTCAAATAATAATATCTATTTTCACTTTTTATTACTTCTGATTGTGTTTCTGCCCATACAAGTAGAAAGTATACTTTGTCCAAGAATGAATGATCTGCCTCTTGATGTAGACAGATTACATAAGCAATAAGCCCCAATTCAGTTTTACAAGAGAAAGTCCACCGCCTTAATATTCAATTAGGTCTAATTGAGGCAAGATGAGAAGTGATATTCGCGGACAGATTAATGGCGCACACATAATTCATTAGGTAATGGCGCTATTATAGCGACACTAACTTTTTTACAGTGTTGAGTGTGCTACCATCTTAATGATCGAGTCATTGATAGGGGGATTATATACTTCCATCGTTGTAGGGCTGTATTGTTAGGATAAGTTACTAGTAGAAATCTTGACATATTGAGATTGTATTATAATTTTTTACACTTAAATTACGAAATACCTCCTGATTTAACAATTTTGTGAGATGATGGTGCAAGATAAAATTCAATAAATGCATCATGAGCAATCACCTTGTAAACCTTTATATGTTTTTCGATAATGTGTTAGATTTATATATAGCTATGATATGTATAATTTGATATATACATATATATACATATATACACAGTAACATACATTACCTAGAGAATCTGAATACAAAAGGGCGGAGCGTTTCAATATAACAAATGATTTCTATTTATTATGCATATTATTATTTTAATTTTAATTTTATTGCAACCCCCATTTCGCCCCCTTAGGGTAGAGTTTCCTCAAAGCTGAAACCGGTATTTACTTTTTATCAAAACAAAACCATTTAAATTTTTACTTACACAATCCATTGTCTTTGTAAAATATAAAGTTTTCAGATGGGCATGCTTATTATATCGATAAAATAGACACACATTTTACACACAGTGCCACTTAGTAACAAGCCCCATCTCTCCGAGTTAGCATTAAACAACAAACAAGTTTATTGGGCGTCGCATCTTAACTCGATCGAGTTCAAGTTAGGACGAGGTCCGTCTTAACGCTGTTATCCGAGCTTAGATCTAGCCGTGATTGTACTAGACGTAGGGATGTCGCTGATACTAATTTATAAACTACAATTTTGCATTCAGAATGATATGGATACCGTCAACTGTCATCGATTGAGAGCAGTGAAGAATTTTTGGTACAGTTAAAATTCATTGATCATTGATTTATGAATTTAATAAATATTGGTTTTTATCTACATATTAAGTTTTCAATCTTAGGCTTAGGGACTCTTTAAGGGGAAAAAATTAAAGACATAGACATAATGACTGTTGCTTGTCAATACATATACAAAAACTTAATGTGCTTACATAAAAAAATTATAACTAGAAATAACAATTAATTAACGGTGCCTGTCACTAGACTGCAAAAAGTTAATAACTCATTTTTAACTAATTCTATCTCAAAAATATTAATTAATTAATATGTTATCATTATAAGGTCATACCTTTTTCCTATTTTTAATGTAGTGATATGGTTTGGTGAATGTGAGCTGGTGAGTTGTAATCAGTGAGTGAGTGATCAACCTAAATTAACTAATATTTTTCAACACTCTACCTGACAGACAAACAAACAAAAATTAGTCAGCATCCCTATTATTAAATATTATTCAATGCAATTATGCGTAAGACATTGGTTAATTTTAAAGATTTTTCTAAACGAAACACTTTTTTATTTAATAAAATATTTTATTCGTTATTTTTAACAAATGTATTATTCCACATGGGAACTTCAGCCTGTACTCAATTAGTTAGTGTTTCGTCACCCAGGCATACTAATCCGGATCAGATACAGTGGAACTAACCGACGCATCCGACCACCGCCGGATCCGATCATCATCGAAACCGGCATTGTTTTAGGATTAACTCAAATATGCGAACGAACTCTATTGACTTATTTATTTTTGTCGTAAACAATCAAACAAAACAATAAAATTTTGCATAGTTTCTTATTGAATATAACTCACTGTTGCTGATCACATCCAGAACTAAAGATTAAGTCAAGTCTGTTAGCTTCGTCCCCTTCTTTTTTTCCCTCTATATTTTCTCTACGAGAATGTAGGGTTTAAATCTATATTATATCTACGCTTCTCAAATGTGATACTAATGAAAGCATGTAATTTGGCGTTAAAAAGTAACATCAATTAAAATTATACTTATGACCAATTCAAATTTAGTCTACGAAGCTATAAAATTTGAGTAAAGCGCACACAAATACAGTATGATTAAGAGACAACAAAAAAGCATGCTAAATGATTAACCTCATTGACCCGTTTTGTTTGATATTCTCAAAGTCAATTTCGGGGGTATAAATATTAAGTGAACCCACAGAACACTTGCATTTAAGAAGTTACTTCCGAGCAGTTACACTTCTTGCTTTATAATATTGAACTTATCTAAATTAGTTTGGTAAGAATGTTAGTGAAATTTGTGTTAGCGTCCATTTTAACAGCCTTTCTATTTAGCAATCAAATAATTTCTGAAGAGATTCGTAAGTAATAGTTTTAAGTAAATAAATATTTGATGATATCTTCGATGGTTGGTGTATTGATGGATTGATGAGGGTCGAAGTTTGATAATCAGTAAAGGTAAACGTCCATTACTCAGCATACACGCACCGGCCCTCGAAACACATCGGGTTATATTAAAAATTCCAATAACGTCATCAGTACAATTTCGACGTCGTCGAAGGCGGTATCGACAACCCATGCAACATGTCGCGTGTCGTGCGGCCGGTGCGTGCTTGTTGAGACATTAGACGAGCACCTTTATTCACTTTAAAAAAACTCCACGTACGTCATATTTTCTTTAAAAAAATGCTGTTCTTATTGAAATATTTCTTGGATGTCCATCATCTTCTAATTAGAACTATTAAAGGATAGGATATAGATTGAACCTAATGCAAGCCCAACGGGTTACTCATCAAGGATGGGATTTGAAAAGTTGATGCTTAGCATGTTGATTAAAAATGTGTTGTTATTTTTAAAAGGATTTAAGTATATTTTAAAGGAATTGAAATACAGTAGTAACGTTTAACCTGGAAGTCACAGTCTGGTGTCAGGCCTTGATACTATTATTACCTAAATAGAATATGGGTTGAAATTACATTGGATTATTATTAATACTTACATTGTTTTGTTGCAGTGCCCGACGATGGCGTAGAAGACAGTCCGCTATCAAAGAGTTGCTTACGGTGCCTGTGTATGGTCACTATCTCCGTTTCTATTTTACATATAATTACATACTTAAAACCGGACGCAATTAACTCATATATTTTAACCATAACACAATAATTTCGATATTTAAAAATTAATATAGTCATCCCCTAATAAGGTTCTGGTTGAGATCGTCATTATGTTGCAGGTGATGGGTTGTTTGTCGGAAGGCTGTGTCGGCAACACTTGTGGCATGTTCCGCATCACACTCGGCTATTGGGAGGCTGCTCACCAAAGACCCAGTCTCATTCACAATAATGTAACAGGTACATTACAACATACCTAAATAACTACATGCGCCGTCTATTTCAGTTAAAGTTAATTAGTTTATTTTGTATCCAATTTGGTTTATTTTGATTATGTTACTTTGACGATTTACATATTATTTAATGTCGACGTATATTAATGTCTATCTTCTCCTTGCTCTAGGCAAGTTTCAACTCCTTCTGTTAACTGTATCACTTACTACCTCTTTATTACTATTACGTTGGCGAATTATAAATCAGGATATTATCATTCTTTTTCTGCCCTTTTTCTTCTTGCTTGTATGTATGCTTTTAACAGAGCAGACGTGGTGAAGAGAATCGTCCTGAACTGATACTCGTAGCATTATTGTTCACAGATGTTTTGGTCGATGTTTTTATCTAGTCGGTCCAGCGCAATGGAGACGAACCCTACTCTCCTAGTCTGTCCTGTACCATCAATCGTTCCATAGCATCATCACGTTGCACTCAAATGTAATAATTAAACATTGCAACTTGAATAAAGCGACAAATGTATCGGGATAATATGTGTTTTAAATAAATTGATGGCAGTTTTATACAGAAAATAAATATAAAAAATACAATGGATAGAGCAATCAAAATATTTAAAATCCATGTTGGTTTGCATTGATAACTTGTATGATCATTATATTGACAACAGAATACGAGAGCTGCAGCAACAACGTGTGGTGTGCAGTGCGCACTGTACAGAGATACATGCGACGCTACTTACCGGTGAGATATAACTAACTGTTACATTTATATCAATACACTTGTTATTGATTTTACTAAAACATTTGATGGCAAATGAACGTCTCTTAAAGTCGACCATTTTCATTATTATATTACGACTTTCCGACGACTGTGTTATTCGCATAAGATATAGCTTCTAGTAGGTGAACGAAATTTTAATATCGGTCCTGTGGTTTCAGGGACTTTCCAATGCAAACAAACAATAAAATATTCCCCTTTTTATCACATATTTAGTATACATGTAACAAGTTTTCAGCTAACTGTCTGAATATTGATAAAATATACTCAATAGTAGTGGAATTAATAAAAGTATTTCACAAGTGCGTAATCCATGCTAAAGTGTCGCGTATATGATGGTTAGAATAGTTACGCGGATCGCAAAACGTTATGGATAACCTTAGACTGTATAATTACTATGAATTCATATAAAATATAAAGATTATTATAAGACAGAGAGTTTCTTATACATTTTCAGAATGTACAGACACTGCGGCCAGACAGGTTGTTGTGTGAGAACGCCTTAGCGCTCCACAAGTTCGGTTTCCGTCGAGGGCACCACAACCTGACTGACGCCAACTACTACAAATTATACAGCTGCCTCCACAGACAGGCCATGAGGTGGCTCGACACTGAAAGGTTTTAGATTTTCAAGCTATTGCAATTATTTGACTTGTGTTTTGTAATAAATATGTTACCAATACCATAGTATATTGACTCTTTATTTTACAAATTTATTTCCACACTCACTTAATATTATGAACTCATTAATCTATTTAATTAACTCATTGACTTTTCTGAGTCCTTACCTATATGTATAGATTTTCATTTCCTGTTAGGTCCTGGGTAGTTCAGTGGTTAGAGCAATCGCCCGATTTGTGAAAGGTCATGGGTTCGATTCCCATCTCAGAGTGCCAGGGACAAAGTGGATTTTTTTATACATTTTTCATTAAGAATATTTTTAGTAAAGCATTGTGAATGTAAAATTGATCAAATATATTATATAATTTGTATGTTTCGTTTTATTCTACATTCTACTTTAAATAATATGAAAGCATCTTTCTTGTAGTTATTACTTCGAATTAAATCCAACTTCTATATTTGTAAATGTGAATAACACCACCAGCAACGATGGAATGGAATGGAAATAAAATTATTCGTATCTGTTGCTCACAATAAAAATAAATAAACACAAACATCCACGAAGCACGGTAATGATGTTTTGAACGCCATCCGACTCATTACACGAGCGATTCCTTTCCTTGGGAAACCTTCCTTGTTCCTGTACTTTGAGACCTAACTCACCCTTGCAATATAAGAAAATCAACCTTGATACAATACAATCCAGCTCGTTTTCCTTTGCTTTAAGAAAACTAATGTACTAAGTACCTAATGAGCGCGCTTCTGCCGAATGTAGTGAATAGAAAACGTCTCTATTTGAAACTGGATAGTGTAATTCTCCTGCCCTTAGGATCTGTTTTCCCGTACTAGTATTATCTTTTGCAGATATAAATGGTATTTTGGATAGGAGAGTAGGGATAAAATAATTGTTAATAAAAGGGTGGATGTGTAGAATGTATATGTATATATAGAAGATAAAAGGGATAAAAAGATGAATATACAGTACGAGGAATTATATACTCGTGAAATAAAGTGGCCGAGTGATAGGATGACGAGAGAAAGAGAAGATTGAAAGAAATGAACATATAACACCGACCTCTATTAATCAGAACCATGGCCGGAAGATGATGAGTTAATCTATATTTCTTATGTTCCAAATCAAGTCTTATGTAGGTTTTTTTAAATAAAGCACAAGAGAATGTATCAGATTATTATGACTAAACTACAAATAGACTTCTTTCCAAACTAAAATCATAAATGACAAGAATCTGTTTCCATCTAATTATTTTAGGACTCTGAATACGTATTTGATTTCAATCAAACCAATAAAACAGCTCGTAAATTTTACTAATCCATCAACAGAAGCGAATGTCTTACGTTAATTTGATAACGGCAATGTTGTGATCAAGATACGTCGGAAAGTAACCGTAAAAACAATTATAGAGATAAATAAATATGCATGTACTATGTGTGTTTAATATATGATTTTACATGATTGGATGTAATAGAAAATTAGTTACACGTTTGATATTTAAAAAATAAAATAATAACATTATTGCTCACCATACGTAGATTTATTCAATGAAATATCTAATAACATTTTATTCGCCTTCCGTTCACACAAAACTTTCATATAATTTAGCACAAAAATATATATGATTCAGTCACTGAAATACATCGTTTCAGCCATCTGAAATGATATACTTACAAATAAACAACATGAAATATGATACAAAATAAATCGAGTATCAAGACTGATATCAGACATTAGAAATACTGCCTATGTATGACTAGTAAGTATAAGTCAAGATGTTACGAGGGTCAAACTGAAAGTTCTTAGAACTGGCCACTTATAAACAATATAATAAAAAAATAATTCTAAAATTTGAAAATATACTCTTTGCCAATATTACTGAGTATATATTTCATTCATTTGTCATTTGTTTTACGATTTGGCGGCAAATTGAAAATTGTCTGTGTCACGTCATCATGAATTTAACACGAGAAAATTTTCGTGCAATGATTTTTTATGACTTTCGATGTCATTTAAGTCAACAAGAAAGTTATGATAGACTACGATTGGCCTTTCACGATGAAGCCCCATCTCGTGCGACTGTTTACAACTGGTTTAATGAGTTTAAACGTGGTCGCACTAATCTCACTGATGATTTACGTGAGGGACGGCCTTCTACGGCGACGACTGAAGATAACATCTGTGTTGTGCGGCGTATGATAGAGACTGACAAAAGAGTGACCTATCAACAGATTCGGACAAGCTTAGGCATCGGTATGAGTCAAGTGCACAAAATCCTCCACGAACATTTAGCGGTCAGGAAGCTTTGCGCCCGGTGGATACCTCATACTTTGACTGAGGCTCAAAACTCCATCGTGTGGATTGGTGTCGTAAAATGATTGAAAGATTTAACGGAGGTGACTCAAATGCTGTGTTCGACATACTAACAGGTGACGAAAGCTGGATTTACTGTTATGATCCTAAAACCAAAAGACAATCTGCTCAGTGGGTGTTTCCTTTCGAGGAGTTGCCAACTAAAGTGAAGAGAGATCGAAGTGCGGGAAAAAAAATGGTGGCCTCGTTCTTTGGAAGGATAGGTCATTTTGCAACAATTGTGTTAGAGGATCAAAAAACAGTTCTGCAGAATGGTACACTACCAATTGTTTGCCACTTGTCTTGGAAAAAGTTCGAGAGAAACGACCTCGCAGTAGGATCCTCCTTCACCACGACAACGCCTCGTCGCACACCGCCAAGCGAACGATCGACTATTTGGCGACATCAAACGTTGAATACTGGGTCACCCGCCGTATAGCCCCGACCTCGCGCCTTGTGATTTTTATTTATTTCAAAAATTAAGAAAAACTTAAAGGAAAGCGGTTTATGAATGCTGAAGAAGCGGTGGCTGCGTATCGCGATGCCATTGAAGAGACCCCTAAGGACGAGTGGGCAAAGTGCTTTTCCCAGTGGTTCCATCGCATGCAGCGGTGTATTGACGTGAATGGACAATATTTTGAAAAGATATAATAAAACTAATAACTGGCTAATGTAATCAGTTTTTGATTTTCTAAGAACTTTCAGTTTGACCCTCGTATTACCAACAACATTGTACAAACGGATTTGGATACGTAAGATCTTATTTAAAACATTCTCAGTTCTGAGATGACATTATCAAAGTTTCCACCTCGGAAACATTGGCCAACTGTCATAAAGGGTGCCATAAAAACAAATCAATCAATAATCCCCGTGGCCGTTACCACCTTCGGGAGGTGAGGGACGAGGGGGGGGGGGGCGAGGTGCCGTAAATGAGCCGATTAATAACCGTGATGCTCGTAAAAGTCTTCTTGTAGTTTCAACCGAGGTGCCTATGATCTGTGGGGGAGTAAAGGTGCAGGGCGGAAAGAACTCTACGCTTAGTCCTAACCCATCTGACCAAGTCCGTATGTTCCAATAAGTATAGAAAAGTGTAGTGTTTTATCGACGTACATCTTATGTACAATTAAATATTATAATGAAAAAGTGAACATGTATGAACACCTCATTTCAAAAACTTTTACTGAAATTTTAGGTAATAAAAATATAATAGAAAGATATTGTGAAAAAGCAAAGAAAACCCAAACAAGTTTTTTACAGAAGCAACGTGGGATATCAATATGCTGGGTCACGCACGATGTTTTTTGCTAAGGGCTCCGTAGGAGGCGGTTTTAGGGTTGTCACGTCTGTTCATAGTTCTACAAAAATATATTTTTTGAGAGATCATCGTGTAACGTTATACTAATTTTGAACTTTCCTAATTCACTTTGCGTAAATTTTAATAATTAAAAGACAATAAATATCTTTCCTTCGTGTAAGTAAAGAATAAAACAAAGGTATAAAATAAATTGTATTTTAAGAAAAAAATAATATATAAGAATAAACAAATCAATTTATGTAACTGGGTATCGAGTCTTTTTTTGTTTTTTCGAGTAATAAATGACACATTCATTCTTGTCATCCTTTAAAAACCTTATTATTTAAAACCAAAAGGATATTAAAACTGACATTTTATTTTAACCTGTGGCTCTAACAAGTTACTGAAAAGGTAAATTGATTTGACAAAATGAAGTCCTGAATTATCTGTTAGGTTGACAGACCAACTATCAGTAGATTTATTTTGTCCAATACCTAAGCCACGGAACTGCGATCTATACTGTCATGACAAATCTATTTTCATTTTAACAAATCAATCAGGATTTCAGTTACGCCGTAGAGTTACTGATGATGAAACCTGTCGTGCCACGTGTACACATGACTACATTTGCAGTGGCTGTATATATTTATATAATTTGATCGTGAATGTGTCGGCGGCAGCCCTGCCGGAGGGTGTGTCAGTATAATCCGTATTGATAACTATCAGAGAGCTGAGCCAGTGTCCGTCACCGCGGGGGACGCGCACCTTACCTTATTGATGGCAGTTACCACTCTTGTTTATAGGGAACGGGCCGATAAAACACTACACGAAAATACTGAAGGAAATCGCCAACTTTATCTGAAGCTATCATATCATTACAATCTTTCAACATAATAAAACTTTAGATGCTGCCATTTCAATACCTCTTATAAATTTTCTTTTTTTTTTTAAAGAATTATCTATATTTTCTGGAGAAAAATTCCTTGTTTTTCCTGAAAAAAAATCTTATATCTCAAATTAAACCATATCTACTCCAGAATAAAGTATACGTTAAAACAAAATAATAAATCATGGTCTATTTTCTTTCATATTGTGAGTTGTGACACAAACACCGATTTACAAATAAATACATTAATAGTAATGATAACACACAATAGATAATAGAAGAGTTTCTGAAAAATTACTTTATAAACTTTATAATAAGTTCTTTTTATTTTTCTCTTACCTTAATAGGTTGTAATTGTGTTGTTGAAATTCGTTTGATTTTATTGTTGATAATATTGTAATTTCGAGGAACAGTTTTGGTTAGCCGTATATTTAACTATAGTAAACAGTGGAGCTCGTCTCTAGCGAGCCGTTCCTACTTCTTAACGGTAACTCAATTACTCACGACAGGCCCGCGCGTCGCGATAAATGCGTTT